AGCCTCCTCCATTTTTTGGATCTGCTTCAATACCGGCTGGATATTCAGAAAGAGCCGGTGGCTGTTGCTGAGGAGCTGCAGCAAGTGCCGTGACCTGAAGGGGCAACCCGTGTAGTAAACCAGTTTCCGTGCAGAGGGCAAACCATCTGGCTGGATCTCAAATTTTTTCCCCTGCATAAAGAGGAGAGATGCCGCTGAGATGACTGAGAGCACGTTTTCAGAGCTCCCAGAGACAGCTGTGGTCTCGCGTGTGCACATGACAGGACTTGACAGAGCCAGTGCGGGGCAGGCCAACAGCTCTGGCAGCTCCCAGGTTGGGAGCCCGCTGCCAGATGGCCTCTGTTCCACCACAACTCACCAGGAACGCCAGCTTCCCAATGTGAGACCAGGGGAAGTCGTAGAGGAGCTGGCGAACGTGATTCACCTCCTGCAACACATCAAACTGGAGTGACACAGGGACCGGCAAGGTACAGGGAGGAGTCACGGATGTGCGAAGAATTTGCCAACAACCAAGAATGTGAGATATGCAGAGCCTGGCCTTGCAAGGGAGGCAGGGGAGCTGCGGTAAGGGGGAGGCCAGGGGAGCTGGGCAAAGTTAATGCTACACCAGAAGGCTCTCCCAGCAGTCTGTTACCTGATAGATGTGCATTCCTCTCAGGGTCAGGCCCAGGATAACCGTCGGGCGATCCTCCTTCTTATCCTAAAAGAACAGAAGAGTCTGGAGTCAAAGGTTAATCTACAAAGACCACACTCTTGTTCTGGCATCTGCTGCAGGAGGGGTAGCAGGGCTCTTCATCAGGCGGATGCCATCAGCTCATTTGGTTTTTATTGTGTTTGTAAAGTGCACCTTGCCTTGCTGACCCCTGAAAATCTACACCTCAAATCCCCTCATGCTGGGTGACTCAAGCATTGTACCAGCAAACACCCTAGCTGCCCTGGACAGGGAACCCCACAGCTTTAGAGACTTGAAGGCATGGACAATTCCTGCTCTCAGAGGTACCTTGTAGCCTCTCATACTGCCACGTGCTGCCCCTGCTGTCCCCACTCTCGCTCTCCAGGTGACTGAGCTGGAAACAGAGGGGGGATGCCTGTGCATTCCTCCTTGCCATGGCACTGCTGTTCCCATCCAGGGACTTACTGAACCTTAGGTGTCCCCTTCACCAGGAGGAAGAGTTACAGGGTCTTTCCATCTAACCTTTTGATCTCAGTGTTGGGAGCAGGTGGTTTTAAATGTTTCTGGCTGGGTTGCAGTACTACCTTGTTTTTCTTCATGCTGTATGTTAGCACAACATATGCCATCTCTAATGAGATTCCTTTGCTTGAAGACCAAAAAAAAAAACCCATGAACTAGTACTTTCAGGCTCTCCTGGCATGGCAGAGTTAGAAAAGGGAAGCATACTTTTCTTGCTAGAAGAGCAGGAGGAAGGAAACGTTTGGGTGAAAATTTATGGGCTCATAGAGCTCAAACTTTACATCAAAACTTTTTCTCCTCACCCGGCTTGTCACAATGCCCACCTTATGCCATCACAGTACCTCACCCTCTGTCCCTGATGCCATCCATGTCTCCAGTTTAAAGTCACTAAGAAATCTTTTCCACCTCCTATGGGCAAAAAGCTTCATAAATCAGTGCTGGTCTGGAGGACAGATACGGGTCTTGGTGCTGTGTTTTTCTTTTGGAGTTCTCAACTTCAGCAGCAGCCACGAGGAGAGCATAAGACAAAAGTGACTGCTTTTGAAATCTCAGGGCAACCAGCACACTGACAACCTCACCTGACACTCCTGTGCACTTGGATTGAGAGCTCTGTGACCCAGGTGTCACCTAGGAGGAGGATATCTCATCATGAGATGAGGTAACTGTCACACAGCAGGAAGAAGATCATATTGTGGATCAAACACCACATGAAGAAGTTACCAATGCATAAAACGTAAGATCAAGTCAGAGAGGAACTTGGATATTAAAAGCAACCAATTTCACAGCTGTGGTGATTTTAGATACAAATTGTATCATGTTCTGCCAGCTGCATTTCTTGTGGCATTCGAGTGTAACCAGCCCTCTTATGACTGCATCATTGACAGCATTAGAATCAAAGCAGAGAGGACAGGGGAGATTTAAGGATAGCATCTATGGTTTGCAAGGTACAGAAACTAAGCCTGGACTACAGACCAAACTGGAACTTATTTCCTCCAGAAAATGCCTGTTTCTCCAGCAACTAGAGCTACCAGATCCGGTCAAAGGACACGGATACTTCCCAGACAAAAATCCCACTGAGCACAAATGCCAAGAAGTTTAATTATGAGTCTGACAAAGCAGAGTATCTCCTTTTGGGAAAAAAGGTGTAAGCCATTCCTCATTGACGGGGAGGTTTCACTCACCTAAGTGGAACAGAAAGCTTCTCTTTAGTCCTATTTCTAGGCCTAGAACTCTACATGTCTACTCTAAACTCTCTTAGCATGTGAAAACAAAGCTCATTCTCTGCAAGCTTGACTGGGTAAGGAGTCTGAGACTCCAGGACTATCAGCGATCCAGGAACTCAAAAACTGACATACAGCTGAAAAAACAGCAACCACTCTGGCAGGGCTGGCAGGGGGTAAAAGTCAGGATGCCTCACTGTCACCTTCAGTTATTGCATGGCATGTGTGTGAAAGCTGGCCAAATTCTTGTCACTGTTTCAATGGACTGCAACAAAAAAAATAAGGGCTTCTCGGTGATTTCCCTGGTGTGAGTCTACTGACAAGCAGGGACAAAAATTAAGTTTTCTGACTCCTGTGGCAGATTTCTTGGCCAAGGAACAAAACTAGATTCCAACTACACCTGTGTATTTTCAAAAGATTTGCTTGTGGAGACAGGACTCAATGGTTGAACATTTTAGATGTGTTTGGCCTCTTTGAATTAGAGGCAGCTGACCCTCAAATAAACAGAGGTTGAAAAATGCAATAGTGTACCCAATTAATAATGAGAGAGAAGTTCAAAATAAGAAGCTCTTTGTTTAACCTTCTGTAGCCTGTAGAAGTGGACAGGCACATCTTCCAGCAGACAGGACTCCTTAATGAACTTCAGCACCGCCTCCTTAGCGCTCAGCCCTTGCTGTTCTCGGTGCATCTCTGGGGCATGTTTCAAGATGTAGTCGCTCCCCCTCTTTGCAATTATCTAAACCACAAGGAAAACAAACAGGTCAGCAACTCTACAGTGATCCCCATGGGAGGCAGCTGTCATCAACAGGAAAGCAGAGACTGGGGGTGGAGGAGGTTCATGTGGTCCCTGAAGATGCTGGTCCACACGTTCACCTCTACCTCCCTAGAGGATAAGCATTTAAAGACGACCAGATGACCCACGTCTCCAAACAGATCCTAGATGGCAAAGACATAAAAGACCAAGCCTACAGAGGTCATGTCAGCTCTTCTCATTTTTAACTACTGGAATTTGTTTTCCTAACTCTTGGCATCCTTAAATGCTTATAGGCAGATAAATACTGCTCTGCATGCCAACACAATCAACAGCAACATCTCCAAACACCCAAGAAACGGTAGGTGGTCCTTTTAAGACCAGAAACTGCACCATTAGGCTTATTTAGCATTTCCATCCTCAAGGGCTGGATAACACTATCTATCTCCAAGTATTTTCTTTTATCTTCTGGGAGCAGTTGGCAGGCACGTGGCTTTGCTAAGCAGGAGAAAACCCACGCTGGGCCTTTTGCTCTTGCCCTGCAATGCATCACACTTGTTCACATGCCTTCTCCGTACAAGGCTACGGGGCAGCCTGGCCCCCTCCCACGACAGACTGTCCCCTTCCAGGCTGTAGCAGCAGTGACAGATAAGAGAAGTATTGGCTGAATTACCTTCACAGAATCCCCCACCACTGGGGGCATTTAAAACTAGATCCCACAAGGTACCGGAGAACATCCTGCCAGGAACAATCAGCCCCGGCTCAGAACAGCCAGACCCCAGCACCACCTACTTCCCACTTCCATTTTCTATTAAGCCCCTTGTATACTCTGTCTGGCAACACCTCTGCCCTCCTCTGCATACCTTGCCAGATTAGTTGTCCTCTCACCAGTGGAGGACAACCTCGATGCCATTAGCTGGGCGACGTCAGCAGAAAGATGTGCCAGCTCCACAGTTCAAAGCTGGGCTGATCACCCTGGGGCAGCACCACCTCTCCCCATGAGCACGAGGCTTGGGGCAGCCCTCAGCCAAATGATCTCAAGCATGTGTTGGAAGTGAAGATCACTCAGTATCTCCCCTTAGGAGCCCAGGGGGCAGGGAGAGAAGCGTCCCCATGCCTGCCAGATTTTATTCTTTGTAATGATGTAATAAATCACCCACATACTTGCTTGGGGTTGTGGCTCAGCTCAGGTGGGACAGGCTTTGCCTTGGCCTTTGCAATGTTTGCCAGATGAGCAATAGCCTGAGATAAGACTTTTAACTGCCCTAGAAGCGGTAAGCACGAGAGGCACCTTCTCCAGCCCTTTGTGAGCTACCTCCTGCCAGGCAGCAAGGAACAGCATGGGATGAAGACCTGTTGTCTGGGAGAAAGGTGTATTTCTGCACAGCAAGGCAGGCAGGCTGGGACTCGTGCATAAGTGACGCTACCAGCCTCACCTCCCCAAAGCAGGGGACAGTGCCACCTTTCAGGGGAGATGCAACTCGCCTGGGCACAAGCAGCCTACTACCAGAAACATCAGGGCTTTTTGACAGATATCCCAAGGTGTCCACTGGGCTAAAATCTGCTGTCACAGCAGAGGAGGGGGCCCCAGAACTAAACTGAGTTGCAGAGGAGGGTCTGTCCAGATCCCATGGAAGATCTTGCTTCAGCAGAGGTCATGTGAAGTTGAATGATGTGTCTGTAGCAAAGCTAGCTTTCCTTTTTTTTTTTTTTTCCCCATAGACACCTGGGTGTTTATTAACAGTTTTCTTGACACTTCAACATAGGAGGAGAATTCTCTGCAGGTAACCAGGTCTGACAAAGTCTCAGGTAATTTGCCTTCATTTGACAGCTAATCCAAATCTTGGTTTTCTAAACCGACTGTAAGTCTTGAAGGGCACAAGCTTATAAAGAAACATGCAAACCCATTTTTAGGCCCTTCCCTCTTCTCCTACTGCAGTTGAGCCAGAAATTAATGACAAAGCAACCACCAGAGGCACTGCACAGCTGTACTACCCCTTAAGGTTTTGGATCTATCCATCCCAGAGGTAAGCATTACAGAGATAAGTACAAAAGGCAATGGACTTGGCTTCACAGCCCTGAGGTTTTCTGCATAGCTTAGGTTGGACAGATCTTGCTGATGTGTCACTGCAAATACACAACCCTTTAAGCCATAAAAGAATTAAGAAAAGACAACCACACTGTCAGAGTTATTAATTTGCCATCAACACATTCCCTCACCAAGAAAGGGTACACAAACATCACCTCACTAATGAGAGAGCCCATAAGGAATGGGCACCTACATCCAGTAGAAAGAAGAGATACCTCCTGAGGGACATTCAGGGTGATGCTCTACCTCATCACTGCAGTGAGGGTTGGAGAAGTTGCATGTCTGCAGGTAGGTACTACTTTGACATAGCTCCTGCTTTGTGCACAATCTGTTGACAGAAAGATCCTCCGAAACTTACCCATTGAGGGAAATAGGCCTGAGGTTCAAAATATTTGCCAGCATGGACCTTCTCCCTGTAGTTCCCCAAGTCTGCCTGTAAGCTGTAGGCAGCAAGCAAGAAGTAGATTTCTTCTTTGTGGTTGCACCGAGACATAAGCACTTGCTCTTTGAGGTGGCAGTAGTAGAGCTGCCGTGCCACCTTATCGCTGCAAGACACAAAGGCAAATTCACTTGAAGAAGAAAAGTTCAGGCTCAGATAAGACCACTCAAACATATCTTCTTTCTAAGAGGAGGGATTAAATTTTGACATCCCTGATGTGTGCCAATGCCACCCTGATACAGTTATGCACGTGTAAGGAGCACCAAGCCAAGATCAAGGTCTTCTCCCACTAAGTGTTGTACAAACATGGGAAATGCTAGCTTCTATCTCAAGCAGCAGGAGATCTAAGAAGTTTGGGCAGAAGGTAGATGAAAGAAAAATCATGTCACACCTGTTTTGGAGACTGACTACATCAAGCACTTCTGCTTCTCTGGAAAGCCTGTACCAGCCAGGAGAGTCAACTCCCCTGAATCCCAATCCTGTTCCTTGCACACCTGTCCTCCATTCCCCTCTAAACCTGGCACTGCTTTTTCATTTCACCTTGCCTTAGGCTCTAGGTACTTTTCAACAACTAATTCCCTGCAAGGTAGATCAAAAGACACAGCAGCCTTGGGCTTGTTTTTGTCTTCTTCCTCGAGTTGCTAAACAGGGTAGACTGATAAGGCATGGCTATCAGGCAGCATTGATAACCCACACCTCCCCAGCTGTAAGAGCTCATGGGAAGCAGGCTGCTGACAAGTACCTACAGATGAGGTGCTGGACACTACAGTCTGCTCATAAAAGTGTGTGTGTAGTTTGAAGGGGCCACGTTACTACCTTTGCACAGTTCCACAAACCTCTCCAGTTAAATTAATAGTGCAAGAGAAACTTGCTTGTGATGCTCAAGGATACGTACACTGGGGGTGATGGAAAGATTTGCAATCTCCCTTTGTACCTGAAACCCAAACTAAATAAAAAACACTTAAGAGCCAAACAGACTCCAGAAGAAAGACTCCCCTGTATCCAAAATTAAAAACTGTGGAGAGAGAAAAACAAAAAACCACCGAGCTTTGTTCAAGAGGAGAACAAATGCCAAAAATTTGGTAAAGATTTTAATCCACCCAAATGATCCCAGCTCTTGGCTTGCCCCGGGGTCACAGCCACGTCAGAAGTGCTGATGCAAATTAACTCTGTCAGTTGTTCACTTTTAACTACCTCATCCTTTGTTCTGTACCGTGGGTGAGGGTGGTGGTGTTTTGAGTGCAGCCCATATTCCGTGTGAACGGGCTACAAATGCAAAGCTCCCTAACTTATGAAGTCATTTCTTTTGTTCAATTATAAAAATCTATTTCCAGGAGCAGACTGTACAGAGCACTGCTCAGATAAAAAAAAAAAAAAAAAGATGCAAAATTATTAGCATGTGCTCTGAAGTATAAATAGCTATTTTTTAGTAGCTGATGCTTCTCTTACAACCAAAAGACGTAAGCAAAAGAGTGTTAATCATAGTTTGATACTGTCATCATTTAGCCTGCTCTCTAAACACAGATTGAAAAGCAGTCACAATTTTCCTAGGGGTAAGGAGTATGAGTTGGGGGGAAAACATTCATGGCTGGGCAAGGAAGTCTGTGAAGTTCTTCTAAAAAAAAAAAAAATCAAGTGAATTTTTAAGCTTATTTCTGTGAGCTCAAAGAGATGAGCTTAGTAAGGAAATACTTTTCTTGCCTTTTAAGAACATAGTGAATAATTCAAAACACAGTAACTACTACAGGAGGAAACTTACCTGATTACTCTTCCATTTTCTACATAGTATTGCACCCTAAAGAAGGCAACAAAAGGAGGGCTGAATTTCTCTGTTCCCTAGAGCAGACAGAAAACAAATTAAATGAGGTTCAGCATCCATATTTTCTGTTACCCCTCTGTAACGTTCTCTTCAAGCTAACTCCCCATTCTGTTTTTCATTTTCTACTCTTAGCTCTTGGCAAGTTTTGGGGGGATCTGACTGTCTGCGAGGCTCACTGCAAGGAGGAATCCTAGAACTCTTAGGCAGACTTCTGACTCTTAGTCAGAATGGCAAAACACCCTCGGGAGGGCAGAAGATTTCGGATGGGGCGACGAGCAGATCCAAAAGAGGCACGGGCAGCTCGTTTTCTCATCTCTCCTACTTTGCCACTCACTTCTTTAATGTTTGTACAGGTAACTTTGCTCACACAGGCAGTTCCAAGGCTTTGTTGGTCAGACCCATCTCACTGGGACAAGGTACATGCTGTGCACATTTGATGCAGACAGCAACTTCTTGATCATCGTGCAAATGTTTACATTTTATTTCTGGAACTTGGTCATAATCAGCCTATTTTATCAGCTGGACTGGGCTTTCCACCTGAAATGTCTCCACAGGAATTAAATCCCTGTCAGCTAACCCTGTCCAATAGCCTAACTCTTCTCAGACTTCAGTGCTGCCAATGGCAACTCATTCAGACTTTTATGATTCACCTCACACCAGAGGTTCAAGGCTTATCCTGACTTAAAAAGTGTTGCAAGAATCCAGCCTCAAAGCAACCACAAAGTGTACCTCATCCCAAGGTGACCAATAACACCTGCCTCAGGAAACCCTCACTGGCTGGACAGACAGCCCTCTGCAAGACTGGCACATGTCTCTGAAGTAACCCTCACTTTTTTGGGAGAAGCAGCATGGGATAAGAGAGATCCCCAAACCTCACTAGTCATCTACAAACTTCTCTAAGCAGCAGAAATAGCAAGCGTGCCTATTCTGCAAAAGAAAACCCTTAAGGAAGGTGGAAAAAGTAATAATGAGCTAATTAAGACATCTGAATGTAATTGCATACTACACTTTGTTCCAGACTGTGGCTCCTCTAATAATGACACACACAGGCAAGCATTATCATGCCTGAATGACCAGCACTAAACAATTACATAGGCCTTTATTGCTCGTAGCTTCTCTCTCCCTTCACAGTGCTGGCTGTCCTCAAAGAACTAAGACTCTTCTCAAACAAAATCTTCTTCCTCTCACTCCACTGTCCTTTTGCATGTACTCTCGAAGAGTCACAGCTCCAGCCCTCTCCCTCATGTCAGGTGCAAGTCACAAAAAGTCATTAGAGGCTGTTGTGCTTAAGGATAGCAATGAGGTCTCCAGACTACCCCCAGGCTCTGCCAAGTTCCAAAGGAAGACTGACCAACTGACCTTTTGCACTCCAGTTGCAGCTAAACAGCAACTGTGTGGCTACTCCTGCTCAGGTACAGTTGTGTAAGGGGCTAGGCCTACCTCTTGTAATTAACTGTACAGCCATGCACAAGTTGCCACATCTTGCTTCTGAAGAGCATTCTGCATACCACCTTCACGAAATGCTTTATGAAGCTTAATTTAAGAGCTTTCATTCTACTGTGTAGCCCAACACCAAAGCAGTAGCCTCTGAAATTAAACGTCTGTCTTACTTTGGTGGTCTCTTTCTTCCACTCCTTTGAAAAGTATTTGCTAAGCTTCTGCTCCAGGTCTATAAAAACATATTCATTATCTGAAAGACAAGAGGAAAAAGCATTTAACATTAAAGAACTAGAAAATCTTATTTATTACATACCTAGGTACTATAGAAGTTGTTTCCAAGCAGTACACTTTAAAACAAAGCTGACAAGGGAACAGACTGGGCAGGGAAAAGAGAAGGCACAGTCTCTTAAGCACATGTGCTACTCCAGACACCATGGAAGGACAGTCAGCCTCTGCTCTGATTCAAGAGATGCTGAGCTCAAGTTCCTCAAATACCTCAGCCAGAAATGCAGACTTCTTGCTCTATAAGCAAGAATTCACTTACAGAAGGGAAGCATCAGCTTACCAAGCTAATTGTACTGTCAGTTTAGCAGATTCAGTTTTTTATTATTAAATAAGCAAGCCCTACCCAAACTTCCACTCTGCCATCATGTAACACCATGGTCCAACGTGGCATAAGCAAATGGATAGAGTCAGGTGTTTGACAGGTTTCATTCTCTACATATGAATGGGATCCTCTGAAATGGTGAAAAGTTAGGAGAACCAAACCCAAATGCCCTCCTCAGAAGATCTGGCTTCTCCTGCTCACACCCAACTCCTTTCATAGAGCAAAAAGATGAATGAAATGAAGGGAAACCTGGCCTACCTCAAAGGACCAGGACGTGCTCTCCACCCAGGTAAGGGTGAACAAGAAACAACCTGAACAGCACATCATCTTGAAAGAGCTTTGTGCTGCTTTCAAAGCCAATGTTTTGTAACACTGCTTACCAATTATCAAATCCAAACCACTCAGCTAGTGAAACATTTTTCCCAGAGCCTTCTCAAGTCGCTTAAAAGAAGACCCAATGGGTGTTTCAGGCTACAGCAGCAATGCCAGTTGAGCTCATTCACCTGACCTGTCCCTCTACTCTTTGGTCTTGCCTAGAAAAGCGTTTTGAACGGTGACATAAGTGCCAAGTTGAAGAGTTTGTTTCTTAGACATGAAAGGAGCAAGGAAAAGAGAAAAACAACAAAAAAAAAACCTTTCACAAAACAATCTTCTGCCCCTGAAGACCAGCCCAGACTTCCAAGCTTTGGCTTTTGCTTTCTGACGTCAAAAAAAAAAAAAAAAAGGGACAACAGAGGTGATTTTCTTCTAATGGAGATTTATAACCAGATGAGAGCCTGCACTCGTGTCTGTAGAGCAGATGAAGGCCTGGCAGAGGCCAGTGTTACAGCAGGTATTTGAAGGGGCTCTGAGCTACCTCACAGAGCATTCTCCAGTTCCTTACAGTGGCAGATACAGCAAATACTTCCTTTGCAAGCTTTAAAAAAAACCAACCAACCAAACAAGCAAGCAAAACAACCCCCTGTTGCCACCTCCTCTAGCTCCCATCTCAAGTGAGAGAAACCACACCTGCTGCTAGGCAGAACTGGTCTGCACATCACACTAACAGGAAACCTTGTGTAAAATGCCAGTAACACTGGACACAAAGAGGACAATCTCCAAAAAGTCCTGTTTCCATGTCTTGGCTCTTTCCTGCATTGTACTGATTGCAGCTGCAATTTTAATATAATAACACTTCTGTTTGCCACGTTGCTTGACATGTCACATACACAGACCACACAATGTTTAACAGCACTGTTGAAATTGCTGTACAGAAATCTGAAAGTTTTAGTGGTGGGAATTTAAGTGCCCTAGCACACAAGGTGATATAGAAGTTGTTTTGCTATTTTGACAAGTAGAGGAAGAGGTTTTAGCATCAGAGACTGCATCTTGTACCTGCCTCTTCACTTATGCTTCTAAGATGGGGCAGCTGGAGGATTATGCTGGCCCCAGCCCTTCCTTCTCTAAGTCCATTAAGATCAGATAACTCTGGCTTGGAAAGGCTGATAGAAGTCCTAGTTGCTGAGAGAGATGGCTTTGCTCCATCTCTTGGCCTTGTCTCTGTCCCTTGACAGCTGGCAAGCTGGTAAATGTCTTTCTGTGAAGCTTTTCTTAGAGAGTCAATAACCGCTCATTAGGAAGCCTGTTGAATATAAATTCAATAGTTGAATTACACTTGAATTTATGCCTTGTGTCCTTGGAAGTGGCAATTGCTTAGATACCTAGGAGGAGAGCACAGGCCTAGGCAGTGCTGGGGCAGGGCGCTCGCTCCACCACAGGCACCCACGGCGGAAATAAGCCAGACTTGAGAGAAGAGGAGGACACCCCAATGCATCAGCTCTCCCTGGGGGTCCCCACTCCTCACCAGCCCAGCCCAGTGTACTCCTCCTCATCCCTCCCGTGCAAGAATGCAGCACTGCATTCCTGCCTTAATGAAGTTAATATTGCTGGAATGTCAACCTGCAGTGTAAGCTTCCACCTACAAAAACAAAGGGATATTTCCTTCCCCAGCCCTACATAGGTTGTGGGGTTTTTTTTCCTTAAACTGGATTAGTGGTGAAACTTAAAGATTTTAAGTCAGATGCTAAAACTGTCTCTGGCTTGAAAATAAGCATCTCTAACAGAGATGAAGGTGCCAAATATAAGGACAGAATAGGAGTGCACAGTTACCTTTCCAGGGAAGAACATGTCCAGCCTGTGGATCCAAACGGGCTGGATACTCAGCAGGTACAAACTGTCACTGCTTCACTGGCCTCAGCTGAAGGACAACAACTGACAGGTACTAAAAAGCTGGCTCAGAAGCAGACGTGCATGGAAATAGGCACCTGCCCACCTGCAGGTACTGACACTGCAACCGTGAATCGCCTCTCAGCACGGCCATTGAGCTTAAAAATACATCACACCAGCTTCTCTTTAAAGGTTACCTCAGGTATGAGTGTATAGATACCAGACCTGGCACAACACTGCACTGCAATCCCAAAAAACCACATCTGGACAGACAGCTAATTTAAAGTAATGCAATTTGTGCATTTCTCCCAATTTTAGCTTTCAAGGGCCCTCAAACGAAATGGAAAGTTTATGCTGCAAAAATCTCACTTCAAATTAAGCACTCACCAGAAAAGCAAACATTCAAGTGCTCCTACTCCACAAAATTAGCTTAGCACGTTTACATAGTTAAGCAAATACAGGATGCTCATTGTTAAAAAAAAAAAAAAAAAATTAAAAAACCCTAATGGGCCAAGTCTCCAGTCAGAAAAAAGTGACACAGATCCAGAGTGACGCAGATTTATCACAGGCATTATTTACACTGCAGGGAAAGCAAGAATAGAAAATCATGTCTGTGATCCAGGATTAAACCTGTTCAGAGACACTGTTACTCTAAAGGCCATTATTTTTTATTAACCAGTGACTCCCCTTTTCATTTTTTATGAGTGTTCCCTGAAGAAAAGGTAAGTAATGGTGAATGTCAATAACCTGCTCTCCTCCTGTGCCCATTTTGGGCTGTGAGCACTGGGAAGTTCCACAGAGGTAAGTCCTGTCCTATCACAAGGCAGAGCTCAAGCCCCATAGGCAGCCAGGAACATCCCATTAACTGCTTTGGTTGAGTCAAGTATAGTTTAATATTGTGACCATTTAGATAGTCCAGAAGATTAGGATTCAAATCAAATACGAACTAGTACAAAGCCAAACTCCCACATAGCAAGCATTTTGTGCCTTCAAGAGAAGGGGAAAAAACTGTCCTAGGCTATAGTGCTTAACTCCTCCCTGATGAAGCACGATGTAGCTCTTGGCAACACCCCTGTTTCCCTTGAGAAGCAGCAGAAAAGAGACAGAGCAGAACAGAGGGATGCTTGGGTTAGGGAAGAGCTAAAGCTAAAAAAAAACAGTGCTTAAAAATACCTCAGCACACATGCCACAGACCTCACATAACCTGTTTGGCTTCCCTGAATACCAGCACAGATTTTATTCTGTTTATTGAAGAAGAGACAGCCACACACTCGTTTTGCATGTGGAGCTCTCCAGGCTTCTAACTGTAGGTGACCTTGGAACTTCAATATCCACATGGCATCTGCTCCCACCACCTCTACGTAACTTCTCCATGTTCCTTCTCTTACCTTTCAAGCCAACAGAAAGAAGCCTTATCCTCTCTTCAGTACCTGGTTGATTAGTTTTCTAAGGCATCTAGAGAAACTTGGTTTAAGGCAATCTTGTGTTTTTAGCTTTAGCCAGGAAGTACATGTATCCCAAGTGAAGAAGGCAAGAACCACCACAAAGGCTGAGGACAAAGCAAGGGAGGTCCTGGCTGATGTTGCTTTACCTGGGACAGCCAGGAGGTATATGGAGGGAAGACTGAAAAGAGAAGTTACCAAGAAGCCTGAGGTAGTGTGGCTGTTAGGAATCACTGAGGTCTGCAGACTGAGGTAAAGGCTCAGTCATTCCTGGTGATGGGTATGTACTGCAGGAATTCTCTGTTGGCATCTCAGAGTCAGCAGCAAGGCACGACCAGGCAAAGCCCCTTGGACCTTTGGCAGTGCCACAGGGAATTCTGCATGAGAAGAGCTGCAGAACCATTTCCAACACTGCTCATCCAGGAGCAAGTGAACCCCTGCAATCCTCAAGCTGGAGAGCACTTGGCTGGATGTTGCACCAATGCTGAAACAACCAGCAGCAGGTGCAGGCAAAACAATGCCTCCCTAGGAAGAGACCATGCAAGTGCTTCCAAGGACTGTTACATGCTTTTTTTAAACACCTGAACTGCAATTCCCTCTAAGGCACATTTCTGCCCGTGTTTTCTTTACACTGTATTTAACTCCTGTTGGAGGTATTGAAATCATCAGAGTAGAGCTGTTTCTTAGGTTAGGATATAGGAGCAATTAATAAAGGAAACGTAACCATCCAAGTGGATGTTTGAAGGAGGAGAGGCAGGGATAGTAGGGAAGGATTTGGATGCAGAAATCATATGAGGGATTTTGGAAAACTTCTATTGTTACCTGTCATCTTAAGAGACTCTTTGTTATAACAGATACATAACAAAAAGTACCCATGGCATTGTATTCCATCCATGAACTTCAGTACCAGAAGATACACAGATGCAGAAGAGGTAACTGAGACAGAGTGATCTTGGCAGAGTTAACCACCAGTCTCCTTGGCCAAGCACACAAGTAAGGGGGACCAGGAGGTATGGATCTGGCAAGGTGAACAGCCACAGTTGTAGCTGAACAATAATCTTTGAGGCATGGGAGCTTAAGCAAAAGGATTTGGTTTTATTTGAAAGTCAACCTGACAAACTGGTAAGAGGACACTGAGAGACAGTGTCAGGGTGTAGGAGCTGCAGGTTTGCTCCTTCCCAGTCAAAGGCTTCCATCTGCTTGGGTCAATCAAGCTTTGCTCCAGAAAAGTGCAAGATTCAGGATCACAGGGATCTGGGTTATAACAACAAAGGAGGCCTGGCTGGTTTTTGTCTGCTGACAATCAGTTTTGGTTTAGAAGACTGAATTGTATCCCTGCAGATACTTTCTGATAACGAGAGGGAAACCTCCTACAGGGCACTAGATAAGGTTGACCCTGCAGGAGGTGCTGCAATATAAGACCCAACTGCTGAAGCCTATGGAGCCAGGTTGAACCTGGCAGGGTTGCAGGGTCTTTCACTGAGCAAACTACAAGTTAAAAATGCACTTTGGCAGCAGCCAAACACAAAGTATAGCTTGCTTGATGACCTGTGACAAAACTGGAAGAGCAACACATCCCAGGCTTTGTGTCGGTGTGGCTTCCCATTAATACACACTCCTAAACTTCATTTTCAAAGACATAAGGTTCTTCTTATAGATGCAAGCTTTTCCCCCCTGCAATGCAGTTGGCTGAAGGGGTTTCTGTGTGAAGAATAAAAAAGCTCAAGAGCAAAAGTGGTGAAAAATCCTATTCTGCCACCATTAGAGTCAGAAGTGAAGGCAGTGAATTTAGGCAAAAATGCTGGAAGACATGCTTCAAGGCCTACAGCTTAGATCTCACAGCATGCAGGGTTTGCAGTTTGCACAGTGCTTTGTGGGGCTGTTTTCATTTCTGCCACACTTAGGGGTTAAATTTATGATTATTTAGCCCAGCCTCTCCACCTCACACACATACTTAGTATGAGAGCAGCTGAGCATTAGTCTATCCGTACAATGTCTGCAGGTCAAGTGGGCTCCTAATCTAGATAATCCATCCAGTGTGATTGGCTACAGGTCTGTAGAAATCCTTTAATTTTCATTCTCTTTCCACTGCTGGCAGTCAGAGGTTTGTTGACAAACTAGCAGCAAGGTAATGGATGCAGGTGGATTAGAATACCTTGTTCTGCATGTGGCAGCATCAGATTGCCAAAAGTAAATGCACATTAAGAAAACAGGAGATACACCCTTATTGTAACAGGGCAGTTGCTTCTTAAAAAATGGCATCACAGTGCCACAGCACAGAAGGGTGAAACCACAATGCAGAAGAGGAGTACTTTGGTCTGAAACACAGAAGCTTCCTCTCATTTCCTGATACCTAACCCACCCCTGCCCTGCAGACCACCCCCACACCTTCCCTTCAGAGCCTCTGTGGCACATACACAGACTTGCTGCTCAGTCAACACAGTTGACTTGAGTACCCACAAGACAACCCTGGGCAATGCAAAATCTTACCCAGACCTCCTCACAACATAACCAGACTGCTTTCCTTTCTTGGGATGATATCTTGCCATGAAACAAAAAAATTCCTGAAAAGCAGGCAATGCCTTAAGGTCTAACTCCAAATGGCACAGATGGAGAGTGCTGCCTTTGTGATGGAAGAAAGATCTCACTTACCACTGGCAGTATGGGAGATGATCAGCAGTCTGTTGGCCAAAACAGGGTGTGTCTGTATGTGGACTATCTCCTTTGCTATAGCTCTACAAGCAACAAACTTGGAGCTATTTTGAAAACAAAATAAAGAAAACCCCAAAACCCACCCCACAAGACTCCAGTCAGCAGCTTACTGGACTTTGACAGACTAAAAAGTAGGGACTAGAGGAAGCAATAAAAACCAGACCAGGTTTGGTCTGTCTTTCAAGAGCAGCTGCAGTTTTTCTGGTGGCCACGGCCGTTCAGGCTGGGAAACTCGCTGCTGACACTTCTCTGTTGTCCAGCCCCAACAGCTTCTTAAAGGCATGAACAAAAATAAATCTCCTCCTCATCCAAAATCCTGACACCTGCCTGGGTGGTGGAGCGAGACAGCTGTCAGGAGGAGCAGGATGAACACGAGGAGCCTTCAGTTAAGCAGCTTCACAAACTGAGCTACAGCAAGCAGGAGTAAGGGATAGCCAGGAAAACAAAACAATACACATACAAAAAAAAAGTTTAATTCAGGCTACTAGGCTGCAACTCTTTTCCTTGACATTATTCTAAGAGCTTTGCAAAGAATTAGCTGCTGTAAAACTAAAGAACACTTCTGTGAAATGAGAAGACAACTGTTTATGTTTAAAGCTATGGACAATATACTTGTATTGTCAGTACAGCTTTATTATCTCTTTGGGTTGGGGTAGTTACATTGCATTTCCAACAAGCTGAAATGTATCTCCCACAATAGGGTATTTTGAGACTAGAGCACCTGTGCTTGACAGGCTGAAGCAAAACTGCTCCACACAAAAGATGGGAGGGAAGGAAAAAGCAAGGTACACAAAATAGGAAACAAAGATATGAAGAGGAAAAATGTGAAAGAAATAGGAGGAGAATAGAAGAAGACCACCTAATTCAGAGGAAAGAATGAAATTGCCCTGTCTTAACAGGGGTGTACAGGAGCTCTAATTTCACCCAAGATGTCTTGCAAGTGGAACAGGCAAAAAACGGTGCTGTAAAATAGCAGCAGGGGGGGTCTGGGTATGGAAAAAATGACACTGACAGGACACAGTCCATTTGTGAAAAAATTAAAAGCATTCTGGTCTTTCTCACACTAAAAAAAAAAAAAATAAAATGCTAAACTGTGCTGGTTTAAATGCATAGATATATTTGTTAGCTACCAGTTTAGTTACACTGAGGGAATCTCTTGGAGACTCCACAAACCTCATGGAAATAAAGAGCTTACGTTGGTCTCAGTTTGAGTGTTTCGCTCAAAAAAAGCAAAAGTTCTTAGAGAATGAGAGCAGAAAGGAAGTAAGACAAGTACACTGAAAAGAAGCTATTTTAAACTACATACTCACAAGGAGACAAACAAAAACATTTAGAAGGACTCAGATCAATTTCCAATTACAGGGAGGTGCCAATGCACACACCATCCTGGAAATGTAATCTCTCGTATCAGTTTGCTCCTTTAAGGCATCATCTCGCACTGTTCCCTGGTCAATACTAAGCCAGAGGACCAAAGAGACTGGACTTCAACCCACAGACCAAGAAGTTTTGTATTTCCCACGTGCTACTTCAAAACCCAACGTCCCCCACACATGCTTTCAGTCCCCTCAAACCATTTGATTTTCATCCCCCTGGTGCCACATTCTTTACATGTGACTTCAGAAGATAAGTAACACTTTCAGCCCCAACAACCTTTTTAAATTCACCTCCTGTTCAACTACTGACAGTTTTGAATTCAGTGACAAATACGTTGGCTAGGAACTCAGCTACAGGAGAGAAAGCAAACCCCACAAAGAGGTGGAACAAAGGAGGAGAACAAAAGCCCCCCCTTCTCCCAATTTGTCTGCCCACATACCAGAGATCAAAAGAGCTCCAAGAAGCTTGTGCATAATCTACATACTTTGTGACCTTATTACAACCCAATTCCCCGCAGGCACGGCCGCTGTGTCTATATGCACACACTGTAAATACACAAGTGGCTCTATGGATGTTTGCCAAGTCATTTGCTCCGTGCATTGAGTTTGCTTACTTTTAACAATGCTGAGGCCAAAGAAGTGAGGCTCTTTAATCTTCACTAAATCACAAACTTGCTGAAAGAGCTCCTGTCCAGTGGCTTTGACCTGAAAGAAACAACCAATCCAACATTACAGATGGCTCACACACCTGGATGGGCTAATTCTCCTTTTTTACATAGGCCAATACATTTTTGGGTACCACAGCAAATAAAAAAATCAAACCAACCCAAAGGACAATCTCTTTTTTTCAGTATTATTATTGCTATTATCACAAAATAATCATCAACATGTCATTCTCCCTCCTTCACAACAGTACAAAGTGGCCAAGCTCAGCATGATATGGATTTAAAGTTTCCTATCTATTGACATCTTTGTATAAGAACTCAGAGTGCTGCTCGAGCCCTAGTTTTGTGCAGTACTGACCAGGCTACTTAAAGGTGCTCTTACAGAAAGTGTGTTTGTAATCACAGAAATGAAAACACTATTCTCATGCACAATTTTTCTTTGAGAGGTTAAGAACAAAAAAAACGAAAGAGAAAACTTGCATCTTCAGGAGATGCAAGTTCTTCAGGAGAACCAAAACCCAAACTACACTAACAAACCCAAGATTGCATGGTTTGAGCAGAAATAGTTGATGAGTTAGAGATGAGGTTGCTCTGTACCCCACATAGAAGAGCTTGTTCTGTGCCCCTGCTGACTCCTGGTCGCACAGCAATGAACATCTTCATCTTCTGAACTGTCACCAACAGCCCATACATTTGCCCATTTCCACACCACACTGAGACCTTCCAGTACCCTTGCCCCCCATAACACTGTGTACACCCTGAGGAAGCACTGGGAAAGCCAAACTGCCAGTGCACACTCCCACAGGGCACCAGAGGCTGGGCAGGATTTGCCAGCAGGGCACAGGGCGACATGGCACAGCTATGGAATGCTCTGCTATAGCAGGGCTGCTTGGAGCACAGGCCCCTCCAGCTAGAGCCTGACCCTGGCTACCTACATGTGCAGACCTGGATGTGTACAGTGATCAGAAAGTTAAACACCCTCCCACCTACAGCCTCACTTCCCTCTGCCCCATCACACCACTCCAGGAGCACAGACAGGCAACCACCGGCACAAACACCACGCACAACCCCTCGTGCCGAGTCTGCAGCCAGGAGAAGTTTTGAGCAAGAGCAGGTGGGGAGGAGCAGAACAGCAATACAGACAAGCTCAGCTCAGCCCTGAGTGCTACCAGCTGCTGCTGTGAAATGGGCCAGAACCTCTGGATTTCATCATGCCACTGCTGGACGATGCAGATGAGCAGCAGCAGGAGCAGCCTTCCGGAGGGGAGGCACAGTGCAGTGCTGCCTCCACAGCAGCAAAGCTGACAGGGCAGAAGTGGACTATTGAACTCTCCTGCAAACTAATCACTGCCATCAAACTAATCACCACCCTAATTCTTCAAAATCTTTTACTGCAGGCATGTCACACTCCCTAAGAAACCAGCTGTGCTCCCCTCCCTGTCCTAGACTGTACCATGTCACTAGACACAGACAATGGGAAACTGGAGGTCATTTAAGTACTCATTTTCTTGTACTTGACAAGGCATCACTAGCCAGCCACTCAGTAATGCTTTATGGGGAGCTTTGAAACCTGCACTGCACCAATACACACGTCTGAGCATATATGTGCTTTGAGAGGGAAGGAGGTACTGCACAGTTCTGGTAAGACCAAAAACCACATCTAGGTCTTATTATGGATCTCCATGTGAGACTCCTCCCTCACAGCCTTGTACTTCAATATTTGCTCAGCTGCCAAAACAGGCAGTTGGAAGGGAAAGTTGGTTGTGGATCTGCCTCATTTCTCAAGGAAGCAAACTCTGAGCACGTTCTTCTGCCCGAGTACTCATCAATGAAGAGGTGACCTATGCCTGGCCAGAATGGCTAAGTGCATGCAAGGGCCACTGGCAGCACAGGATTCTACATAAAAGCCATACAATCAGATATATTTTGTAAGTGGCATGCTTTCACACTTACAGGGAGAAAAAACTGCTTTAAGATACTTAGTTCTGGGGAACTGAGCACTTCAATGTGGGACTCAGCTCTAAAGCAGTGATTTAATCAGATTTCTTGCACAACTGGTATGCAAGCTACCACCTTGTTCATTCTCCTTTTGGCACTGCCCTTCTGTATCAAGTTTTACTCCCAGCCTCCAAGGCTATGAAACACTGATAACACTTGCAATCACTGTTCACTCCTCCTCTTGCCTTCCCTTCTGCTCCAAACAACCAACATTTCCCCTGCCATCCCTCACCTGTGCACTTCTCTTTGGCCTCTGCTCCCCTGGTATGGGGTTCCTGTGCCAAGCTCCATCCCAGACATGCCCTAAGTCATTCCTTCCCCTGATACTCAGCTTTGCCCCATGCCAGACTCAGGGTTTCTTTAGGCATGAAATTTAGTCCAAAGTGAAGTCAAGTGCAAGCCTACAGAAGATAACTGCTATTCCAGGGTCATTCTGTGTGAACATATTCATGCATATTTGCTACATATCTCTATTTTAATTGGTCCATATGATTTAAGAGATCAGCTCACAGAACGACTGAAAGATTTCAGACCTACACTTACCATTCACCAACACACAGGACTTCACTAGACCTCCTCCTCTCCAAAAATTTCCATTCACTCCTACCCATGCTCCAGCAGCTAGGCAAGGAGCAACACCTGCTGTGGCTGCTTCTGAACCACCCACACAGAGGTAGGGTGGCTGCCTGCCCTGCTCTGCTCTGTGGCAGGCTGTACCCTCACTAGCATAGGTTCCTCCTCCTTTATTCAGCTGGTGCCACCCCAGAAAATTTTTAGAAACCTAGTCCTAAAAACTAGTAGGTATTGATCAATGGTTTTAAAACTATCAGGGAGATAAGCCACAATGCTGGCAGATAAACACAACTGAACAAACTGGATGCCTCTCCAGGGTCTTTGGCGCAACCAGCACCATTTTCAGCTGCAGCATCCTCCCTCACAGCCTGCTTAAGCTCCCTAATGCTCATACCCCATCTCCCCACTGGGGCTGCCTGGAGCAAGGCAGACTTGTGGCTCTGTGCTGTCGATGTACATTCTCCCTGGCAGAAACCTCCTACTCTGCCTCGCTGTCCTTGGGGGGGCTGGTGAGCTGCAGCACCCACTAGTTCTCCTCATGGCTCTGCTTACCCTCGTGTTCACAGGCAGTCCTGGGAAAACAGTGCTCCTCCTTACCATCCCCTCAAATCTGTCTATACGCCCAGAGAGGTGGACAAAGTTAATTAAGAGATACCCAGCTGCAGGAGGAGACTTTAAAATAGCTCCTGCTATTCTCTCCTCAATCGCCCTATCAGGCATAAGGCAAATCCATTTTAAAGAGCAGGCTGCAATCTGCACGTGACCACATAAAACATATATAGCTAAACTCTTACCTGGAAGGGTGGTATTGATATGGGAAGAGGAGAAAGGAATTACATGCATAAACACTGTGTTCTTATCACAGGAAGGATCTATAATTTATTCTGCTGAAAGGATAACCATTCCTACCCACCTCAGTGAGCTGCAAGCTTGTTTAGTATTTGCATTCCACACTGAAGAGGTTAAAAGGCTTTGGAAATCTTAAGTAGTGGCATTATTATCCTAATAAATGCAGAGAGTATCATCTGTGGTTGTGCTAATTAAATTTGGGTTCTATCAACATCACTAGAAAATTGCCTTGATGTTCTTTTAGAAAAGAGCAGATCTCTCCAGCTGTGAAATCTTAATTTTTGTTGTTGTTTTGAAGGGGTGTTGTGGTAAAGACAGAAACCAAATTAAAAGCTGGTTTTGGTAACTTGCCCAGCTCTAACAGGTAATGTTTCACTCTCTATGCAATTAGGACACAACTGTGTGTTGAGATCTCATGTTTTGGCCCAGACAGCTATTCCCTTTCACACACAGGTATCTATCTCCACATACATATTTTCCCAACTTCCCAGCTGCCAAAGCAGGAGGCAGCAGAAGCAAGAAGGGAAAATGTCTTTACAAGGGCTACCGAGGGGTGCTGTGGCAGGAACCCCCCTGAGGGGCAAGGCAGTGATGCTCAAGGCACCCTGACTCTTTCAGAGGGGCAGCAGGCAGGAGCAGGGGAGGAAACCTTCCCCCCTTCCCTTTGTCACTGCCATTGCCAAGTTCCAAGACCATTTCTTATGCTCATTAAATACCCTGAAGGTATGTTAAAGACATGCAGATGTGGCACTTAGGGACACTATTTAGTGATGGAATTGGCAGTGTTAGGTTTATAGTCAGACTTGATGATTTTAAGGGTTTTCTCCAATCTACATGATTCTATGATTTATGATAAATTGCAGGTCTGCAGGATTTGCCATATGGCCCAAGCACTGCCCAAACAACACAGTGAAGAGTGGCTCAGTGGTGGAGGAGCAGCTGGGAGCTGTGACAGCTGCTGGCACAATGCCCCTGCACACCAGTCACCACGTCCCCCACAGCACGGTGGGCTCTGCCACCTCCAGTCTTTAGCCTCCCTGATAAAAGCCATAAGAAGGTGAGACTTAGGGTCAGTCATGGCAGAGCACTACCCAGGACAGTGCACCTGACACCAAGAACTTAATTAAATCATTATTTTGTGGCTTTCAAAAAAGCCAGCAAATTGCAAAAGCCTTCTGGGGCAGAAGATGGGCTTGGTTTGAACAGGTAACCTAGAAGCAGAGTGCCCCAGATTTTGCTGTTAAAGCCTTGTTCAGTCCAGCCCTTGTGGCTGTTTCAGTTAAAGATGCCACACTTAAGCACAGTAGGTAGGAAAATTCCTACAAGGATTTTGAAGATTAGCATGCATAGTTTCAAAAACCACCGTTTCAATCAAGTGCTTAAAATAACAGCTCACCTCAACTGTCTTCTCTCCCTCCCTCCCTCCCCATCCCCGAGGGGGGAAGAAAAATCCACCCAAACCAAAGCAAAACCTCCCCAGCCCACGCATGAGTACACACACATGCTCACGCTGAGAGCACTTATCTGTGAGGCTAGCTTGTGGTCTGAAGGTGAAGTGCCTCTGTCAGCTCAGTTTCTCAGGAGTTCAAGGAGCAGGCAGTGCTGCACGAAGAGGCACCGTGCTGTGGTGGACACCGTGCCAGGCTGGGCTGCCAGCTGACCTGCTCTGCTGTCACTCCTGCACACACACTCAGGCATTTGAAGTGGCGATCAAAGAAACGAAGCGACTTACCTCTGGTGTTTGTGTGTACAAGTACTGAAAGGAGGGGAAAAGCCCCACCTTCAACGGCTGTTTACTCTTAGAGTCTTTGAAGGGATCTGCAGACTGTCAAACCCAGAAATAGCTAAAACACCAAAGCAAGTGCTCATGCGCTGGGCACGCTTGCTATGTCATCAAGGCGTTTCAGGTTGAACTTGTTAAAAATTGCTAGATTATCATCAGTGGCAAAGACACTCAGAGACTTCTCTGAGAAAAAACAACCAAAAAAGAAATAACTGCAAAGGACTCTGCAAATGAGTTGGCACTCCACTTTCTAGGTGGGCAGCTTCACTTACCCTAAGCTGGCTAATAGCCTTTCGGTCAGCAGACCAGCACCAGGCTTTGGGGAGAACAATGGGGATTAACAAAAGCGAGTGGTGGCCCTGGGCAGCGACCTCCCGGCCTCCCTCCCGGGCACTCACCCCCACGGCTAGGTTGAGCTGCTCCCGGGGGGGCAGGAAGACGCAGACACTCCGGCTCTCCGGCTGCATCCTGCCCGCCAGCAGCACCCTGCTCATGGTGGGCAGCTCTGCGGGTCCGCTGTCTCCTCTCTGGGCAGGCTTCAGGCTCCCTTCATCCCATGCACCTGTCAGGAAGGTGACAGAATCAGTACCGTGCTCCTGCTGGCACTGCAAGCAGCCTGTGGCACGCGTTTGATGGAGTATTTTCCTCTGTACTGCTTAAAAACAAACAAACAATAAAAACAACACTCATCCCTTTTACAGCACCACAGTCAATATTTCCACCCTCATCGCAATGCAAACCAGGCAGAGTGAACCTTTAAATAGGTTGTGAGTCCCAGGAAAGAGCTGTAATGCAATCAGGTCTCCCTAGAATAGCAAAGCAGACTCAAGGTTTCTGGACACAAGTGATAAGGCAGGTGACACCACGGCCTGCTTCCTGAAAACACCCACAGGGGAGAGGGGAGCACCCCTTCCTTCAGCCAGGTACCTTGCTCTCGCCTGAAGCAGGGATTTCAATGAGCCATCAGCAGGCACATGTCAGTGCAGAGGACTTCATCTGGCCCGTCCTCCTCCCCACCGCTAGTGCCTGGGAAACCTCTGCCCCAAATCCTCTCTCTCTCAACTCAAAGGAGGAGGTGGAAATGCATAAACTCACCAGGCTGAGCTGCCCTATCACACTTTCTGCAAGACAAGCACTGCCAGCCTCCTCCCAAGGGCCGAGCCCAAGCTGCATGAGCATCTCAGAGCTGAAGTTATTATTGTAACAGAAATAGGAGACAGAAATTCAGTTCACACCCAAAAGCACAGTAGCCAACATCATCTTCAAGTTATAACTAGGTTAGATGCAGTTTTCTCAGCAACATGAGACACTTCATTTAAAGGCCTCTCCACTCCAACGCCCTCCAGGCAAGGAAGCATCTGGTGGCACCTGATGAATCTGGCTTAAAGGGGACAGCTCCTCAAGGATGGGTTAGGGATGAACGCCAGCAGAGACTTGAACTAGCAAGATGCTAAGTGGTTATTGGGTCTTCTCCATCCCCATGCAAGATTTGATACCAGTCAAACCCTGGCTGCCTCAAAGTCACCCTAGCGTGACTCCCACCAGCAACACCCACCACTAACACAGCAACAGAGGTGCTGCTGGCTGCTGCCTGCCCACAAAGCCCCCCATGGCCCTGGGGACAAGCGTGTACCCCAGCAAGGGCAGCCAAACACAGTGTCTCTGGCAGCTCTACCCTCTCCCACCACCCACAGCACGGCCCACCTTTCAGGGACAGGCTGCCAAGGGAGACGTGGGCTTTTCCTTCACCCTCCAAAATTAATTCAAGGACAAGGGATCTTAGAGGAAGGAAGCAGGTCGCGTTATGCTAACACATGACATACATGACGTACATACATGCATGTGTGCATTACATATGAGTTTTAAAGGCATTTAGTATTTAAAAATCATGTTCGTCCTGTTTCAGGGAAAATATGGCAGAACCAAACTCTCATGTGGGATATGGGATAAGCAAACTGACACGGGAAAATAAAGTACAGTACAGATAAATGAACTTGGATTTACCCCTCTTCCTTCAATTCCATGTGCAAAAATCCTTTTTTCTAAATTAAATACAGTAAGGGATCTGTAAATATCCTTCTGCAAGTACAAAAGCTGCTCCATGAAGCCCTTCTGTGAGTCAACTTACACAATGCTTCTTACTAAAGCATTTTTATACAAGTTATTTATGTAGAGTATCTCTTAGGAGATAGAAATACAGAAAATCTGCATTAATAGTATTAATGAAAAAAAGGTGTTTTTTTAAATCAGAATTTAAACAAGAACTAGGAGTTTTAAAAAGGAGATAACTAAATTATAAGCAAGCAGGAAAAACAGAACTGACTTTCTATGACAGGTGAAAACTTCTGTTAAATGAAATATTAAGAGGAAAAACTCTGATTTATCTTCTCTTATCGATGTAATTATAGTGATGAGCTCTCTTAGGCTTCAGGCTACACACAACCAACAGCTGTATATAAATTACAGATGTCTACAGAATGACTTGAGGGCAACAGGTCACTGTTATTATTGCCAGCTGATGTCATATGAGCCATAAACTTTATCAACAGCATAAAGACCTTGGAGTATGAGCTCAAGATTTCCACCGTAAGGAGGTTTGTCTTAATTGCCAACTGCTGCACAGGCTGGTACATGCTCCCACTCATGAGGGGTGACCACGTCCAGCAAAGACATTCACAGATTCACACAACCAAAAACAGGACAAAGAAGTGACCATGAAAGACCCATGCACACAATTTTCTGTGGATAGCTGAAGAAACTGAATCCCACTTCCCCATAGCTTCTATAAAACAAAGCTTCTGAAAAGCTTTTCCTTTGGTCTTACACCTGCTTTGGCCACCTGAATTTTTCAACAAACAGCTGTGAACCCTGGGAGCAAGAAAGTGAGAAAGGAGGAGAAGAAAGTGTTTTTCACCTTGTATTTTAAAACCAATGAGCTTGTGGACTCTGCAACAGCAGGTAAGAGGTTAAAGAAGGAACATCCTCAGTCTCAATGGGGAGGTCAAACACAAGCCCAGCTCAGCCTTCACTTCTTTAGAGGTATGTTAGGATGTGATAAAACATAATGAATCATTAACTTGCTAGCATTGCATGTTGACACTTTTTTTTTTTAAAGAGGAAAAGAAAAAAAGAAAAGTTGTGAGCCAAGAGTAACTGCCCAATGAAAACAAGTGGCCAGAAGGAATGCTCTTACTTAAACATACACCATTGCAGACTGCCCATATGCCATTCTTTTGTTTACCACAGATTCCAACCTCTTAACCTCAATTAAACCCTAAAAGCTCCAGTAAATTAACTGCAGATGAATTAATAAAAGCTGAAGTCAATCATCAGCCTCTGGGACACCCTACAGGTTGTTTGTTGTTTTTTTTTTTAAGTAACATCACTTCATGTTTTAGCTCCTGGAAAAGAGCATTTTGAGATGTAATTGCTCAGTCAAAGGCCCGGCAGCCTATCAATGAACCAGTCAAAGGCACTATTTATTTGTATTCTTCTGGTATCAGTCAGGAGGCTTATTAGTGCCCAGAGTGGTGGCAGAGCTTATTTAGCACTGTTTATTTTACCTAAACACACGTGCAGTGAAGGAAGCTTTGGAAAGCACGCCTGTCATTAATTTCAAGACTGCTCTGATTAAGCAGCTCAAACATGGCCATAAAAACCTCATTAAGAAAAACCCTAATCTTCCCTCCCTCTCTCACAGCTCCTTGAGCTGTCCCCCAGCACTGGACCAGAACCTCAGGACTTGCTAGGTCAAAGTAGGAACGCCTGAGGTTTGCCACAGCGAGAGAGGTAAGAGCAGCAGAGCCCTCCAAGGGAGGAGGAGCTAAACCTCCTCACACAGCCCATATAAACAGTGGCACAAGGATGCCCTGCCACCACTGAACCTGGGGCCACACCATCACTGGCCTGTCTGGAAGCCAGTCTCATCCAAACAGCACGTGAGTATGGCTGTATTTTACACATCAATTTGTGGGACTATAGCAAATTGTCTCCTAACCCTGATTTCAGTCTCTAGGTACTGCCACAACCACATCTCAAGGGATACAGCAAATAGGTGAATGAGCAATCCCCTACCAACTCAAAGCTGCAAAATGGAACAAAGTCCTCCTCTAGCAAGAAAAAAGCACAGTTGATTTTGTGCTTCTCTCAAAACCACCTGGAAACATGCTTTGTAACATTCATTACAGTAAAACATCTTAGGAAAGCTTGCTTTGCTAGAGCTGACAGAAAATGAGCACTGAGTATCTTCCTGATGAAACCTTACCAGAGTGGCCCTACGGAGTCCCATCAAAAACTGTCTAGAAACATTAAGACTCTTCTTCACATTTTCCAGACATTATCCAGAGATGTCTCAGGCTTCTAAAACAACTTGACTCTTATGCTGCAGTTTAACAGTCAGCTTAAGCAGCTTTAATCAAGGCAGTCCTGCAGCAAGACAGACAGACAATGCCTGGAAACAAACCTGCCTTCGCCACAACCCACACTTGGGCTGCCTTGTACTCATGATGAAACGCAGCCTTGAGACTGGGAACCCCCCTCACCTTCCAGGTATTTTGTCCCCTCAGAGGCATACTGCAGGGTACTATCTGCAAAACAGTAATAGAGAGCCTGAGCAAGTAAAAGATGTAATGATGGTATACATTAGCCCTTCTCAGCAACTTTAAGACCCCACCCATCTCCTTTGACTGTGCCCTGAGATGCATCTTCTCAGGGCAGAAAACAAGACTGAAGCTTTATGTCCCAGCTCCAAATGATGTGAAAAGTGCCACCTGCAACCAACAGCCAGGACAAGTAGGTCATGTCCTGCAGCAAATTCCCAGAAGCACGTTGACTTCTCAGGTATCTGCCTCAACATCACTCCAGGACTAGAACACCACATCCAAGGGCAAGGATGTAAGGCATTCAATGTGATGTCCATTCTCTGCTTCTGGGTAGAACACACACCTGCCTTCAACCACAGAGCCCTACTGAGTAGGAAGCCCCTATTCAAAGTCATTGAATAAGGAATACCAAGACACATCCCAGTTACCTGAGTGCTCTAAAGGCCTAGATCCCCAAACAACTCAGCCTGGCTATAGGACAGGTGCAATACCAGCAGCAAAGGCAACTGGCTTTCAGTCCACAGATGCAGGAGATGCAAGCACAACAGGCCCTCTGCATTTGCCAGATCTGAGTGCAGTTCTCTTGCAGGGATGGGATGCAGGCCTCACTTCTATATTTCCTTTAGGATTTTCAAAAGGTATGATGGAATATCCAAAAATGCCAGGGCTGTGGAGCCCTTACAGACTTGGTCATCATCCTGTGCCTTTTGGGACAGATGGTGAAATTGCTGGGCATTGGTCTTAGATACCAACCAACATCATTTTTCCTTTCTTCCTGTACAAGCACCACTCCTTGGTGCATCAAGCATTGACAACTGAGAGAAAATACTTTCTCATTAGTCTTCATTGAAGGATTAGACACAGCTTTCAGTTAGGCATGACTGCCTACACTC